TATCTTACATGAAAAAACAAATCCGTCATCCACCAAACAGAAGTGGCTGTTTGCAATATTGTTTCATCCCTTAAGATTTTTGTTTCCACAAAATCAGATTAATTCTTCCATTTCTTGAATTAATTCCCTATTTATTTTTTATATTTTATCATATTTATATTCTTTAAAAATTTTAAATTTTAATTAAATATATTTATTATTAAATTTAAAGTAAACATTCAACGTTAATTTAATTATAACTAATAATTGAAATATTAAAATTAATTATTTTAATTACTGAATTAAAAAATTTATAAAAATTTAGTTAAATTTTAGTTACTCAAAAAAACAAATAGTTTAAAATTTAATTTTAATTAAATCAAAATCAAAGCCGTACCCAGACCTATCAGTACTGCTCTGATACGAAAAACTGATGAGAGAGTATGTTCCAAAAAAATTAATAATTAAGGAAGACTTCGGAAAGGGGAACTGGCAAGTCTTCTCTTCGCAGGAGACAATGAATACTGATCCTCCTTCAAGAGCCTGTCAATTGCGGGACAGGCGTTGTCAATTCTCTTATCAATAATTGAGAAAAGATTATGTAAAAAGTAATAATAATAATAATTGAGGAAGACTTGGGAAAGAAAAAGAGGACAAGTCTTCTCTTCACGATAGACAGTAAATACTAAATATATAAGGGAAATCCTCTTTCATAAGACTGTCAAATTGTGTGACCAGCCTTATAACTCTCTTATCATATCAATAATTGAGAAAGACTTGGCAAAAGGAAACAAAGACAAGTCTTCTCTTCACCGTGAACAGTAAATACTGAATATGTAGAGGAGATGCTCTTTCGAAAGACTGTCAATTGCGGGATTAATCTTGTCAATTCTCTTTTTGAAAATAGGTAATGAGCTTTGTCAAATCTCTTATTACATCAATAATTGAGAAAGAGAATGTACCAAAAAAAATAATAATAATTGAGGAAGACTTGGGAGAGGGAAACAGAACAAGTCCTCTTCACGGTGAACAGTAATACTGAATTGTCCTACAACTTTGGAGAACGCTTGTTCGGATGAAAAAAATAAATAAATATATAAATAACAAAATCAAAAATTATTTTACAAAACGAATTATATGTAGTTTGTTATGTAAAATTAATTAAGTATTTTTTAAAAATTAATATAAAAATAAATTTAAAAATATTTAAATAATTTTACAGAACAAACTGTATGTAATCCGTTTTATAAAATAG